GCAGACTGCTTGCGGACTGCTGAAGCTTATAGGGAATCCAAATGTTCTGGATTGTTGGGTGTTTCTGCCTTTGTGAAGCGCTATGAGATGACTTGTTGTTGTAAATATGCGCTATTCAAATAAAATTGAATTGAATTGAATTGAATAATTACCTGGTTCTCCATATCCCTACACACAAGCTCACTAAAATGCAGTTCAGGTGTATTTATATAGAGTCAAACCACGACAGAAGTTATCACTCAAGGACTTTGCAATATAATAGAGAAAAACCCAGAGACTACTCCTTTTAGCAGCAGTTGTCGACAGTGTGACTCTGAGTCAGAGTAAGATCTGAGTTTTGAATCAATTATTCACAAGTAATTCTGTAAAAACCTCTCAGGAGGAACTGAAAAACTAAAAACAACCTTTCTCTGGGTCTCGTGGGCTGCAACATGAAGTGGAGACCAACACCAGAGTAGAAGAAATCAAGAGTTATATTTAAATAAATAGACGCCTGAGTAAATATCTAGAAGACAAAGTCCACAAATACAAGCAGCAAGAGTGTGGATAAGATGTTTATGTGCCAAACAGAGTCAGTGCAGAGTACATCTGGTGGTAGCTGTTGTCCACAGTATGGAGCTCAGAGCTCAGTGAAGAACTGGATTCATTCTGAGGTTATAGAATCACTTCATAGTTTCAGGGAGCTGGTGAGATGAAGAAATGAAGAAGAGTGAGGCTTTTTTTTAAAAAAGTGAAACTGTTTTGCAAGCTTCATCTCCAGTTCTCACGGTGCTGCGTTTTCGATATTAAGCATCATGTCAGAGATGGCAAACGCTGAATGTTGAAAACTCAGCTCCCTGTGCTTAGTGTCAGTGCTGTGTTCATATAACAACAGCTCATACAAAGAGTGAGATGTTAAAGGAGAACTCCTGCAGGTTTACACACTGAAGGTGCAAAACTCAACTAATGTCACTTCAGTCAGCAGCAGTTTTGTCTGAAGACAAAGCAGAACCTGAAGATGTAAAAATGAGGTGGTTTAGTCAGAAACAAGCCAACTTTCCTCTCATGGCTCCATTAGCTGCTACTAGTAAATACAACTAAACCTCCAAGTGAAGTGCTGACAGCTGCAGTACATCATGGTGACGTCCAGGACAAGTTTGACCAGAAGACTGTGGAAAAAAAACACACATGCTGCAGTGATGTGTGGTTTAAAGTCACAATGTGTCGATTTACTGTCTCGTATCTCATATTTTAAATGGAAACAGGTCTCATTGTTTTGTCTTGTGGTCAGCTGGTCCCAAAGTTGTCGAGGCCATCGGAGCAAAAAGAGGATGTGAATGTCCAGAGTCAGTAATAAAGAGAGAAGAACTAAGAACAACCACAGTGCTGCTGGACATTCTGCTGTAAGAGGAAATCAAGAAGCAGCTCCTCTTTGCTTTATAAGTAAACGATGTCAGCATAACAGATTAACTACTTTCTACTTCAGATGCCATCTATATCTGTGTTAGGACATATCATTTACATGTTGCTATAGCAACCAAAACAGCCTTGGTTGACATCATTTGTTGTCATTGACTGCAAACATCATTGTCCACAGCTCGGTGCTCATTTGAACAATTTTGTCATTTATCTCAAAATAAAGAACAAAGAGACCCACATACTCGTGTGCAGCAGCATTAAAACATCTTTGTCAGAATGTTGATGATGTGTAAATATTTCTTTCTATGTAGTCAACGATCTATTTTAATACATGGACTGAATTAAGCAAAAGTCACCAACCATCCCACACAAAGATTACCTTTATATGACTAATAAATGTTATTAAAACGTTCCTATTACCACAACAAGTTGCACAGGTATTGTATTGGAATTTGAGCAAATGATATTCATCCATCATCTATACTTAT